AAGGAAACTTCTTACTGGGCACTTACACATGCCAGGGTCCCTTCTTAAGTGCTTTACATGTATATTAACACACTTGACTTATTCTAAGAGGAAAAACAGAGACTTGGCAGTGTGGTTAGAGGGCTGCCAGCCATCCATCATTAGGAAACACAAAAATAAAAGTAGTAAGCAAAGTTAAAGTAGCTAGAAGAGGGGAATGACTAAAATGTTCTGGGCTTCTGTGAAAGCAAACACTACTGACTTTCTGTGAAAGTAAATACTACTGCAGTCACTGCAAAGTCTTCCAAGAGCATTAAAGATACCAAAGAAGTTAGGCAATGGCAGGTGCATAAGAATGTCAACTTGGCTCTTAAAAAGGTACGTGGTGGGGACAGAGTGACAGGACAGCCGGTAGGGCAAGTGCCCTTCCTCTTATGGCTCCCTGAGCATCACCTAGAGTAATTCCTGAGTGCAGAGCCAGGAGTAACCCCTGAGTGTCACCAGTTTTAGCCTAAAAACAAAACACAAATCAATTAATCAAAAAAAGTGTATTAATAATAAAATACTGTGTGCGTTTTTTTTTTAAAAAAAGGTACAGGGTGGGTTCAGAGCGAGAATACAATGGATAGGGCTTTTGCTGTGCACATGGCTGACCCAGTTTCAATCCCTAGGTCCCCATATGGCCCCCTGAACCCACCAGGTGTGATTCCTGAGCACAGAACCAGGAGTAAGTCCTGAGCACCGCCAAAAACAAAACAAACAAATATGCACATGGGGGCAGAGAGAGAGTACAAGGGTCAAAGAGCTTGGGCACCCCGTTCAATCCAGGAATGACCCCTGACAGAGCCAAGCGTATGCCCTGAGCACTGCCAGGGGTGGTCCAAAAACCAAAGATACAGATACACACTTTATAAACTCCGAGTTCTCTCTGTAAGACTTGGGTATACCTTACTTCCCACTTTTCCTATTATTTTTCTCCATCAAAATGTATTTGATTAAACTGACTGAGGAGCAGTTGTGTCTAGTCGAATGCCGAGACAGAAGGAGCTGCTGCCATTTCATTGGGACGACAGCGCAGCTCCACTTGGGATGGGGGGAGCACCAGGGAAGTCCAGTGAGCCTGGGATTTGGGGTGGGCCCATCTCAGCAAAGCTCTGCATTGGCTGACTGTAGCGGATCATCTCTGGGTTGCAGGGGAGCTTCCTCAGAAGCCCAGGGAAAGCCTCCGCTCACAGCCCGAGGGGCCGATTATACAAGGCACCCTGGGCAAGTGTTCTTTCCCCTCTCCACAAAACCGCCCCAGGCTGGCTCGGGCTGGGAATCCCGAACACCAAGGATGCTTCCAAGTTCAACAGCTTCCAACCTCCAGCCAGAGGAAGCTGCTTCCATCAGCCCTGCTGCCGGCCTGAAAAGGACCAGGGAGGGTCCCTGGAAGGTCTGCGTCGAAACTTTTCATACTTCCAGGCCACATAAACCCACATAAAGCTCACTAAATCCTTGACTTTGAAAAATTCTACTTAGGGGCCAGAGCCATAGTACAGCGGGTAGGACACTGGCCTGGCCAACCTGGGTTTCACCCCTGGCACCCCAAAGGGTCCCTGGGGCCCACCAGGAGTGATCCTTGGGTGCAGAGCCAGGAGTAAGCCTGAACAACACCAGGTGTGGCCCCCAAAAAGATTTCTCTTTACAGGCCAGGAAGAGAACTCAATGGGCTAGAGCACGTGCTTTGCAGCAGAAAGCGTAGGTTGCAGAAAGCGTAGGTTCAATCCCCGGCATCACCTGGTCCCCTCAGCACCATCAGGAATGACCCCTGAGCATGGAGTTGGGACCAGTCTCCAAGTACCACTAGATGTCGGCTCCCCCCCCCCCAAAAAAACAAGATAAATCCAAAATTAAATTCTTGAAGAAATAACATTATCAGGAACCATCCAGGTAAAGGGAATTCTCGGCCAGTTCCTTTACGGATGGCCCAGGCCGCGAACGCAAAGAAAACCTAAGCACTGGGGTTTAAGACACCCCTTGAAAACCTTGGGGACAGTCCCCACATACGCAAGTGGGACTTATCTGGTCTGGGACCCATCCAGCTGTGCGAGGGCATACTCCTATCTCTCTGCCCAAGCACTCTTCCAGGCGGTGCCAAGGAAACCATGAACAGTGACTGGGTCGAACCCAGGCTGCCGGCATGCGGGCAAGTGCCTTATCTGCCGGGCCCAAGTGTCATTTATTTATATAATTAAGACATGCCATGTACTCATTAATACATGAGTGACAATTTGCTATATTCAAAGATCACTTCTTTCATGGCACAATAAACACGACGGTAAGCAATGACCATCGGGAAAATGTACAGACATCCAAAGAACTGCCACATCGCAACTTAAATCTACAAGGGGGCACTTATTTAGCTCAGCGGTAGAGGAGATGCCTCTGCCACATCTGTATGTGAACACAGGGTCAGCCAGCAGCCACCACCCCCTCCCCGAAAAAAAGCCATTTCCTAATAAAGTATTGAATTTTTGTACAGTAAGCCACCATTACTAATTTTTCTAACTTTTGAGATCCGAAACATCCTTTTGTTGTTGTTGTTGTTATTGTTGTTGTTGTTGTTGTTTGGGGGAGGTTGGGCCACATCTGGTGATGCTCAGGAGGGCACTCCTGGCTTGCACTCAGGAATTGTTCCTGACTATGCTTAGGGAATCAAATGGGATGCTGGGAACTGAACCCAGGCCGGATGCCTACAAGGCAACCACCCTACCCGCCATACTCCATCTCTGGCCCCAGATGGAACCCTCTGCCCAGTCATAAAACACAGGCTCAAAAAAACGTATTTCAGTCATTGCCACAGCTGTGAAGTTACCCAAATTTCTGTGACAAAGTGGAGCGACCCTTGCTTTGTCCTACTTTACCTAAGTTGACATTTAAATCTTATTATAAAATCTACAACAATTTACATAGAGTTTTTCATGGTGAAAGCATCACGTTCCCTACACTGAGAGGAGGAAAAAAAAAAAATCCGGGCATTCAACTTAGTAACCTATCAAATCTCCACCTTGCACAACAGGGCACACTTCGGATGTAACTAAAATAGCCCTTTGAAACCAGTGTTTATGTAACCACCGAAGGTTCTGGTTGGAGTCTATACTAACCTAGATCTCTGGGTCCCCCTTCTTCTGACTGCCCAGAGCGTGTCATGGGATCGAAGGAAGAGAAGCCCTGCCGGCAAGATTTGGTGCTTCCAAACTTCGGTTTTCACATGAACTCAAAAGTACGGGGAGGGGGGAAAAAAAAAAGAAAAAGAAAAAAGAAAAAGAAAACCACCGGCTGGAGGTAATAAACAAGAACTTGGGATCATTTGCTCTTTAATTACACGCGGGAAGATTGCAACAGTCTGACCGGTCCTGCCCAATTGTTACACAAAATAGAGACGCGGCTGCTGTCCCTCTCTACATGGGGGCCGGCTCTGCGCACCGTCCAGCCTGGAAATAAACGCAGTGAAACTAGACCCAACTGTGCCCCCCTCCCCAGCCGTGCTCGGCACCCACAGGAGCACACAGCAAGGGGGAGGGGGGGGGGGGGCTTGACACGGCTTTTCTCTCCCAGGGCCAGCAGAGGGAGACGAAGACATCTGGCCTGGTCGTGCGGCGTTTCCGTCAAATTGGGGAGGGCGGGGGGAGCGGCCGCGGAGGCTGTATTTAAATGCCCTGCTGTCAATCAAAGGACACTTCCCACAATCACAGCGCCCCGGATCCGCGCGTGCCCTCCGGGAGGGAGCGGTGGGGGGTGGGGGGGAAGCATACTCCGACCCGGATCCCCCCACCCACCCCGATCGGGAGGTGGGGGGGCGGCTCGGGAGCCCTCCCTCGCCCGAGGGGGCCCGCCGGCGCGGCCCGCACCCCCAAATAAGGACTTCGGGCGTCCGAGCCCAACTAGTTTCTTTGTTTAAATGCCTGGCGAGTCCCTCCCACGCCCGCGGTCCCCGGGCTGTGGCGCCGCCCTGGAGGAGCCTCGCACTTTGATTACAAAACACACGGCGAGCCGGCCGGCAGCGCGGCGGCGGCGGCGGCGGCGGCGGCCCCGGCTCGCGCAAACGTCAAAAGCCGCCGCGGGACGGCCGCTCGCCGCCGCAGGTCGGCCGGGCACGGCGGGGACGGACGGACGCGGCGGGGGCGGGGGCGGGGGCCGGGGGTGCGCGCACCGGGGGCGTCCCACTCTTTGTAAAGTTTCGGCGGCCGCCGCCCACGCCCCTCCGCGGCACAACCCACCCCCCCGCAACCACCCACCCCCCCACCCACCCCCGGGCCCGGGGGGTGGGGGGGGACCCAAACTTCCGACTGGCATCTTTTGAAGTGCCCGCGACCGCCTCATCTGTTGCTCTGTTTACGCCGGCGCGGCCGCCGCCGCCGCCGCCGCCGCCCCCCGCGCGAGGAAGTTTGATCAAGAGCCGCGAAGGGGGCGCGACGGGAACCCCCGCGGTGGGGGAGGGGAGCGGGGCCCTTTCGGCAGAGCCGGGACGGGCCGGGGGCCGCCGTGCGCGTGGGGAGGGGGGCGGGGGAGAACAGCCCCGCGGCGGCGCGGCCCGAGCCCCGGGGGCGTCCCGGGCCCCGCGCCCCCCGCGGCCCCCCGGGGCAGGGCAGCGCGGCCGGGGCGGCGGCCGGACGCGACCCGGGGCGGCGGGCCCGAGCGGCGCAGCGCCCGCCGCGTCCCCGCGCCCCGGGGTCTCCCCCCCGCCCCCGCGCCCACCCCCCCGGGCAACTTCGCCGGCGGTCCCCTTTGTTCCCGTGGGTCGCGGCGACTCTTCCCCCGCCGGCCCCACTCGCCCCGCCGCCCCGGCCCCCCGCGGCCGCGAGCCCCGGCCCCCCGCGCGCCCCTCCGGCCGGCCGCCCGCCAGCCGGGCAAGCCAGGCAGCCGGCGGCCGGCCCGGGGGGTGCCCGGGGCGCGCGGCGCGCGGGGCCGGCGGGGGGCGCGGGCGGCCGGGGCGGCGGTTGGCTGGCCGGGGGGCCGGCGCCGGCGGGTTTATTTACCTGCCGTGGAACCAGTCCTTGCAGCGATCGCACTCGATCATGAAGCGGCTCACGTCGTACGGCTGCCGGCACACGCAGTACACGGGCGGGGGCGGCGGGGGCGCCGAGGCCCGGCCCGGCGCCGCCACGGCCACGGCGGCCGCGGCGGCCCCCGCCGCTGCTGCTCCCGCGGCCACCGCCGCCGCCGCTCCGGCCATCTTTAAAACACACACACACGCACGCTCGCTCCCTCGCTCGCTCGCTGGCTCCGCTCGCCGCCTGCCAGCGCCGCCTCCTGCAGCAGCCGGAGCAGCAGCAGCGGCGGCCGCGGCGGCGGCGGCGGCGGCGCGGCGGCGGCGGCGGCGGCGGCGGCGCCGGCTCCAGTGCGCGCGCGCGAGGCGGCGGGCGGGGGCGCGCGCCCGGCTCCTTCCGGCGCTCGGCGGCTCGTGCACGGCGGGCGGGCGCGCGCGGCGGCGGCGGCGGCGGCGGTGGCGGCCGCGGCCGGGCCGAGGCTTTCTGAGGACACGGAGCGGCGGCGGCGCGCGCGGGCCGAGCCGGCCGGGTTATTTCTGGGTGCGGGCCCGAGGCCCGGCCAGTGCCCGCGCCCAGGGGAGCGCCGCTCGCCGCCGGCCGGGCTCGCGGGGCAGGGCAGCGGCGGGGCACGCCTGGCCCTGTCCAGCTTCTGGACGGGACTGGAGGGGTGGGAGATTTGGGGATGCTGGGGGAGGGCGGGTGTCAAACTTCGGAGCCGGCTCCCCTCTGCCCGAATTGCCCCGCCGGCCGCCTGGGAAAGTCGCCGGAGCCGCTCTGCGGGTGCGGGAGCTGAGCTGATCCCCGGGATGGGCGCCCCTTCGAAGGGCCGAGCCGAGGGGGACCGACCCGGACACGGGGCTGCGGTGGGACCCCGAACCACACACACACACACACACACACACCGAAGGAAGCCGCGCAGTTAGCAGCAACGACCACGAAGACGTTCCCGTCCCAACTTTGGAAGATGAGAGGGAACGGTCACGCCGACAGGGGACCCGGGGATGCTCCAGGTGCCGGACGATACGAGCCTCCTATTAGGTCCTTAATACAGCCATTGTTCGACAGATGAGCTTTGCGAGCCCTTTTTTTGGGGGGGGGTCTTTTTTTCTTGGTTAGGGTTTTTATTTGTTGGGGTGCCGCACCTGGCGGTGCTTGTGGGCGACCCAAAGTGGTACCCGGGATGGAATCCATTCGCCGTCAGCCACGTGCAGGGCAAGCCCCCTACCCGCTGCACTTATCGCGCCCCGGGACCCCAACCTGAATTTTTAAGATACAAACCCAAGACCACAATCAGCTGATGTATAGAGACTAAAGAAAGACTTAAGCTTTGGAGTCCTAACTCCACGAATTGAAGACCAACCATCCAATCCGATTGGCTGAATTTGGTAGGCATTTCTCTCGAGGGGAAATGTTCCCCGCTAGCTCTCGCCTAATTGTAAGTTGCCGGGTGTCCTAACTTCCACTGACAAAGCCTAGTCTCCCAGGCCCAAAATGGAGCTACATTTTTAGGTCTCTTGACGAGAAGAGTGCAGTCTCTGCCCCCGCGCCTGGGTGTTCCTTCCCGGAGTCCCTTGGAGGGGAGCGGGTTGAGCTTTCCTCCCGGCCCCGACCAGGGCTACGGCAGCCGAAGACCTCCAGGACCAGCCACCACCATGCTGAGACCACTCTCCGCACACCTGAAGGTACTGGCAGAGGGACAAAGCCACGCGGGTTCCGGGGCCGAGACCTCCAAGCCTACTCGATTTGGAGTCGAGCATCTTCCACCCAGATCCTCCAAGTTCCAGTAGGCGGGGGTCACACCCACCACCTGGCCCCCTGGCGCCGTGTAATCCCATCAGCGGCCAAGACTCAGAGACTATAAAATCCAGATCCCGAAACCGCGCGGCCGCAATTTATTATCTCATTCCTACTTTGGACAAACTTGCAGGCTATCGAATGTAGCCTGCCCACAGGGCAGAGTCTGGCAAACTCCCCGTGGCCTACCAAATATGCCAAATACCAGTAACAATGATGGGTCTCATTCTCCTAAAGAGCCGTGAATATAATCTCAGGGCTAGGATGAAAGAGACGTTACTGGGGCCTGCTCGAGGCAATCGACGATTAACAGGATGATGAAATGAAATGAAATGAAATGGTTCAGCATCTAGCCCCACCATCCAGCCTCCCCCCCAAAAAAAACCCACCCCCGGACCATATCACAGCTGGGCATGTTCTTGGCAGGATAAGAAACTCCTGGAAAATATGATAGCCCACAAAATGAACGAGTTCCAAACACTTCTGCCTTGGGCCTATATTTAGGAGTCTTGTTTAGGACCTTATTTAGGTAGATCCAATGGAGGTGTCAAGGTAATAGCATCTGCCTGAACCACATCACAGGTTTTCTAAGAAGCACGGGACGTGGTGCGTTTTCTTCAAAGTTAGATGGCGAGGGTGCAAGTGGCAGGACAGCAGCATGGTGTCAGAAGGGGGAGGCGGCAGAAGGCAGGTTGGAGTCAGGGAGAAAAGCACGTCCGCCCCCAGACGCCTGGGTGGTGCTTTCTCCAGAACCCTAGAGGGCCCTGCAGGGGGCCTGAGGCAGCAGCAGGGAGGGGAGATTGGTTACAACCCACAGGACCCAGCCAATCTGTATGTTTAGGAAAAGAAGAGCCGATTTTTCACTGTTGAGGACCAGAATTACAGACAGGGGAAGAAGCAGAATGAACCTTTTGGTGGGGGACAGGAAATGCATCTATTTTTTATGTTTGAAAATAGAACTAGGTGTGTCCATGCCTACATAGGTTACCCACTGGAGGAGCCCTGGCTGCAAGCCATGAGTACATCTAACCTAGATCTTGACTTTTAAATCCTTTCTCCTTTTCATTTAGTTTTCTTGGCAGATGGCTGCTGGCAAGACTGGCATAGGGAAGTACAGGATGACCCCAGAGCTTCTAATTGTGCCAGAAAACAGGGCCATGTCAAAGGGACACAGCCTGGCCTGGAAGGTAGGTCAGTGGTAGGGAGTATGTGTTGCATGTCTGATGAGGCCCTGCATTCAGTCCTTGACACTTGCGCCAACAAAAAGCTACACTGAATCTTCACAGGGATGTAGCTCAGCTCAGTAGGAAAGCGGGCGCTCGCTCACACACATACACACACACACACACACACACACACACACACACACACACTAACTTGTGTCCTAGTGGCCAAATCTGGAACCAAATTAAACTTCAAGATAAATATCAAATAGACTTGCTCTCTCCCCCGTGTTCTTCCTTGAACATGTATCTCTCTTTCTGCTTGTTTTTCCAATCTGGGAAAGCCCGGATACTCTCTTGAACACACATTCCTCTTTCTCTCCCCTCTTATTTTTCTAAGTAATTCTATAAAAATTATCTGCATCACTAAAAAAAAATATCTGCATCCCTTTGGAGCGATAGCACAGCAGTAGGGCGTTTGCCTTGCACGCAGCCAACACAGCCGACCCGATTTCGATTCCTCCGCCCCTCTCGGAGAGCCCAGCAAGCTACCGAGAGTATCTCACCCGCTTGACGTATTCGATATGCCAGACACAGTAACAACAAAGTCTCCAGTGGAGACGTTACTGGGCCCACTCAAACAAATCTATAATCAAGGGAGGGCCTTTACCTTTACCTTTACTAAAAAAAAAAAAAAGTAAGAAATAATGAATTCTAACCCCACCGAGTTTCACCGGGGAAATCATGTATGGATACATAAATTGCAAGTTTCAAAAGGATTAGAATACATAGTTTCAAAATACCTCCCAGGAGCAAGAGCAATAGTACAGCAGGTAGGATGCTACCCTTGCACACAGCCAACCTGGGTTCGATCTCCAGTATTCCATACAGTCCTCCAAGCAGGAGCAATTCCTGAGTGCAAAACCAGGAGTAACACAAGTATTGCTAGGTTGCCTCCCTCCCCCCAAAAAAATACCTACCAAAAAATAAATAGAAAATGAATTAGAGTCTCTTCACTATTCAGGGGCCAGAGACATAGTACAACTGGCAAGGTATTCGTCTTGCATACAGCTGATCCCATGCCCCATATTGTCTCCCAAAACCCCACCAGCAGTGATCCCTGAACACAGAACCAGGAGTAAGCCCTGAGTTCAGTTGAGTATGGCCCCAAACAAACCCAAATCAAAAGTATTACAGGAAGTCTCTGGCAGGTACCCCCTTAAGGGACCAGGTGCCATGACTTGAGGTCCTGCACCCCGGTGAGAATACAAACGTTCTCTGCTCCACTCCCCTGAGTATCTAATTAGGGCTCCTTATAAAGGTCTGTACTGAAAATCAACCACAGAAGCCTGGGGCGTGAGTCATACTCTCAGGAGTCTAAGGCTCTGGGTCCTGTCCTCAGCACCCAGGGCATGAAAAAGTAAGAATAAGGAGATGACAACTCTGTTAGAAAAGGTTAAAGAAATTGAAACCAGAAAAGATCTGACCTTGAGAAGAAAGGGATGAAGGTTGGAACTCTGAGTAATGCCCACATTTTAGTAACAAGCTCCACGCATAGTAATTAAGAGCATGCGCTAGATTCCACAACCTACCAGCCCTGTGACAACTTGCAGATTCTTGGGTTTGTGCTTTCTCATTTTCGTGGGGATGAAAATAATAATCTACCTTACAGAGCTGAGTGCATCAACTGAGATAACAAAATGCTGGCCACCATTCCGGGTATATAATAACCCACACAGCTATTCGCTATAATTAGGAATCATTATTTTGTACTTGTTTATTAATAATAATAGGGGACCAAACGGCACCTAGAGAATTTGGAGAGAAAACTAAAGAGTACTATCCAAAAAAAAAAAAGAAAGAAAGAAAAAAAAGAGAGAATTTCACAAAGAAATTAACTTCAAGACACCCCCACCCCACACTGCCTCTGTGCCAGCATTGGTTGGCAAGAACAAAAGACATTCCCTTTCCACCACCTTTCTCCTAGAATATCTGCTTTAGCTCTTTATTTCCATATCAGCTCTGAACTGCTCTTTTGTTGGTTGCTAACACTCTACTTGCCTATAAACCTTCTTTCTTCTGAAAAGAAGTGATTGTTTCTGGTAACAGCTCCGGTGGTTAACAGTCTCGGGCTGGAGCGATAGCACAGCAGGTAGGGCGTTTGCCTTGCACGCGGCCAAGCCGGGTTCGATTCCTCTGCCCCTCTCGAAGAGCGCGGCAAGCTACCG